ATAATGGCACCTCTTTACCAGAAGTAGCTAAGTCAAATAAATGTCCCAGTATGAAGTGGCCTCGCTACTTCATGAGCACACAGCGGAGTTCTGATCCTCCACGTCAATACGGCTACCATAAGATAATTGTTAAGCCGCTTGCAGTAAACACTGCCTGGTATCACTACATCTTTGCACCATGGCAGAAAGGCTATACCAAACAATTTAATGTTCCCGTTAAGCTGGGTCTCACACATCACTACAGGTTCCCGGAGAAGAACCGAGGGACAAAGAAAGTCCAAACTTTCACGATGAGCAGATATTTTGAAGTGACAAGGAAAGGCATAATGGAGCAAGTGTGCTAATAATTAGCACCTAAAAAGACCAATTTTCCTATCCGACATAAGGTACCTTTTGTCAATTATGGTTACAATTTAAGTGCAATAGTTAACCTAATATTGATTCATAATAATAATTTATTGTTAATATTATTCTTTTTCAAATTTCTACTATGTCTCATCAAAACTATCATAATAAGTATCATCATCTACTGCTTCCTTGACACCAGAGTCATTATAGGATGAAGAGGAATAGTAAGAAGGAAGCGAAGTTCCTCTCGCCATTGAAGCAGTCCCTATACCAAATAGCAATATTAAATACAATCTTATAGTCAGGTGTATACCTGTTGCAGCTGTGTATGATGGGACAGAGTCAGAGAGAGACGATCGTAAGTCTCTGAGGATAGCTCTGCTCTCCTGGCCTCCAGTGTAAGAAGCTGGCTTATCTGTTTGTGGACTAACTTCTGGTATCAACAGTGCAAGGTTCTATTAATTCTTTAATAAAATCAGAAAGGAACAAAAGGTTCTTACTTTATGACATTCAGCAAATTGAGAGCAAACTCTAGCCAAGTTTGACCATTCTCTTGAGTGGTCAAGCAGACCAGTCTTAACAGACATCAGCTTAACTGCTACCGTCTCTTTCTCTTGACCAATAACTATTGTATCAGAGTTAGTATCAAATCTTTAGAATATAGCTATGCAACACATGCAGTCTTTTTGAACAATGCTAACTTAAAGTAGAGGAGGAGTGAGGAAAGAAATGCATGTTGTGATAAACCATAAAAGAATGTTATTGTACACGAATTAAGTTGTTAATGATTCCATATTTGGTCGATTATCAGGAATGTTTACTAAGTACCTTCTGATTCAGCTAATGACTTAGCATCTTTGTATGTCTTCAGCTTTCTTCTGGCATGCTCTGGGTCTTTGGAGCCTTTTGATAACTCTTTCTCATACTTCCTTTCCTTGTCTTCATAATTTGCCTGAGAGAGAGAGAGAGAGGGAGGAAGAGGAATAGAATGGATAAATAGAGTGGGACAAACCAGTTGTTTCTTAGCTGCGTCCAACTTCCTCTCGCTCTCCAAAATGTGCTCATACGTTCTTTTATAATCCTTCAAAGCAGCTATAATAAGAATAAAACGACATATGGAGGAGGTGCCACTTTATGATGTTGTAAACATGTTAACAATGCCGGGTTTTGTCGTGTTACTCGTGTTACCTAAGTATTCCTTTTGGGCTTCAATCCACATTGCATCTACTTCAGCAATTTTTGCCAATACGTCTCTTATGGCAGGGGAGTCTTCATCTTGACCCCATTTGAACTGTGCATTAGAAGCTACAGACATAAACATACATAAGGACAAGATGCATTTGGGTACAAAACTAACCTCTCTGCTGAGCTGAAATGCTGTCCTTTAGTGTCTGCCTTACTGAACTGAGTTCTGATATGATCAGATTCAAAGATGTGTGTCCTGTTCCTAGAGAACGTATCCTAACTCCACTCCTTCGAAGAGCTGCTCCAGCCTTTGCGCTCATTTTGTAACAGAGCTGCACAGCAACCAGCCACACCCAATCTAATGACCACGCCTTCTAATTAACCACGTGCAGTGATGCGATGCATGAGAAAAGATATAGGAACAGCCGGAGATAGAGAGACACACGATGGAGAGAAAGAGGAGCGGGGCAAGCAACAAAAAGAAGAGTGTTGCCTCAAAGGAGACCACCCCCTCGAGCACTGAGGAGGAAACCTCAGGGGAGACCAAGGATACCTCTAGCAGGAGCTCACTACGCGACGAGAGGGACACTCGGGGCTCTGTCTCTCCTCGACCCGTCTCCAGCACCTCGACCTCTCCCAGCCCCATAGCCCAGCTCATGACGAGGACTGGTTACAGTATATACCAGCAGAACAATCAGAGGCGCTACGGGCCACCGCCTGGCTGGACCGGGCCACCTCCTAAGAAAGGCTGTGAGATCTTCATTGGAAAGATCCCTCGAGACTGCTTTGAAGACGAGCTCGTTCCCATTGTTGAGAAGGCCGGCCCCGTCTATGAGATGAGGCTAATGATGGACCACAGTGGTAGCATGAACCGCGGGTATGCTTTCGTCGTCTACTGCAAGGCTCAAGATGCTAAAAAATCAGTCAAACTCCTCAATGAATACGAGATCAGGAAGGTCGGCCATCTTGCCACGTGTGTGTATACTAGAATAGGATTCATTGCTGCGCATGCATGGCTTCCTTGGGTCACACAGTATTAAATTACTTTATTTTATTGAAAACTTGCTATAATGATAGTATTTGCTTCTTTTGTTATTGCAGGGCCGTACTATTGGGGTGTGTATGAGTGTCGATAACTGTCGTTTGTTTGTGGGCGGGATCCCTAAATGTTTGACAAAGGAAAATATAAGAGAAGAGATGGAGAAAGTCACAGACGGTGTGGCTGATATTATAATGTATCCAGCAGCATCTGACAAGAGTAAAAACAGAGGGTAACTAATACAATATAATGATGTTTTATTTTATATACAAGTCTCTTTTTATGTCCTAGTTTTGCTTTTGTTGAGTATGCCTCACACAGAGCAGCTGCTATGGCTCGCCGTAAGCTCATTAACAGCCGGGTCAGACTATGGAATCATGTGGTAGCTGTTGACTGGGCTGAACCTGAGCTCGAGGTAGACGAGGAAACAATGGCAACGGTAAAAGAGAGAGTAGAAAGATCGTGTAGTGGTTGTTAATGTAATACTAAGTGCTAAGAAAGGGGGAATTGCTATTAGATACTATTGAAAATATAAAATTGAAGGGATGTCTGCAATTGGTTTCTACCATACATTAGCAATTTGATAGTGTGTTGACACTGTCTCTGGGCTAGGCTGATTGTCACTATTAACACTCCTTCCTGTGAAGTTGTGTTTATCTATTATAAAATACATGTTGGCTGACTCCTCTTGTTCAATTACTGTTGTACATGTTCTTGTCTTGTGCTAAGAACTCTTGTTTTGACCTCTTATCTGTCTCTCTCATCAATGTAGACTCTATTTTTTATTCACTCCAGGTCAAGATTCTTTATGTAAGAAACTTAATGCTCACCACTACAGAGGCTCAGTTAAATAAAGCATTCTCGCATCATGCACCTGTGGAGCGTGTTAAGAAAATCAGAGACTATGCTTTTGTACATTTTAACTCAAGGAGTGGAGCTCTTACTGCAATGAAAGCCATGAATGGTCTGTTGTTGCGACCCTCCCCTTCTCCTTTCCCTCCCTCTCTCTTTCTCTCATGCATCATTTTTCTCCTTTTTCTAAAGGTTCTGTGTTAGATGATGCAGTGATTGAGGTCACGTTAGCTAAACCCGTAGATAAAGAAGCCCAGATGCGTAACCCTCCACGTCATCAGAAATCGCCCTCTCCTCCTACCATTCCTCCTCCTTACGGGATTCTCCCCATAGACTACTCTATGTTACCTTCGCTTTACTTTCCTCCATCACCAAAGTATATCAAGTGTTGACCCATTGCAACCCTTACCCCCCTCTCTCTCTCCTATAGAGTTTTTTCTAGAAACAGTATGGGCAATAAAGTTGTCAGAACTCCCCCAAACTCGAAAGGGAAATCCCAATCCTTTTATCCGCCTCATTCACTGTCCTTTGGTCACCCACAGGCGCAACTAGTCTTTCCAGCTAGCCCAGTTCAAGGTCCTTACATGGCGCAATACATGGACTCTCCGAAGAGACCGCAAATATCTGAGGTAGTTTAAGGCTACGTTTACACTACTCCATTTTCATTTGAGAAAAATGGATGCTTTTAGTCACGGATACAGATTTCGTTTATACTAAAACACATGAAGCAAAAATTCAAAGAAAACACAGCTGATCGTTTAGTGTAAATACCTAAAACCAGTGATATCAGAAACTCTCCTCATTCAGTGGAGTGGAGTAGTTAAACGTAGCCTAAATGTATAAACTTTTCATTATCATTATTATAATATTTATATATTATGTTGACCTATTTGTCTACTTATTGCCTTTTGAAAGTATTAATTTGTTCTTTATTTCATTCGTAGGAGGCAGCTATTTTTGATGTTATTCCAGGATTAGACATCTCTCCGGCTCATCCCCATCAAGCTCCTCCTTCTCAACACCCTCTACCTCCATCATCATTTCCTGTGAAACAACCAAGGCTTTTAATGCAGGTTTGTTCTTGCTATATAATATGCTTGTTTAAATTGCCATGTGCAATGTGTAGATACTAGAAGACCTTTGTATGAAAAGCAATTGGGGGCAACCGCTTTATTGCTTGCATAGCACAAGTACTTCACCAGAAGGATCACTCTTTCAGTATAAAGTAATAAATAAATAATGCCTAACTTGTCTAGTTAAATTGTTAATATGTCTCTCATAGGTTTACATACCTGCCTTAAGTACAACTTATATTCCATCAAAGTTAAGTCGCTCTGTTGAGGAGGCCCAGTGCACTGCTGCTGAATATGCTTTAGTTCAGATGGGCCTTTCAATTGAAGGTATAAGAGTTCTGCTATTTTTTCATGTCGTGTCGAAATTTGATTATTAGCACAATGATATTGCATATCACACTTGTCTCTTTACCATACTTATAACTAGGTGCTAGTTATCCTACACTTGCTGGGGTCCCTCCTCCTCCTCCTCTAGCACCTGTTGATCCATTAGCTCCTGTTACTATCCAACCCGCACAGAATCCTCATCATGGTTTTGTCGGGCTACCAGCCACACCCAAAACTCTTTCATCCAGACCAGCTCCGCCTACTTGGTCGCCTGATCCAGCACTGATAACTGGTGGGTGTGTTTAGTTACAGGATGATTTGTAAAGAGTTCTTAATTTTTTATAATTTTTCTGCAGTTACAGCTCTGTGGTTTTATTTTGTGGTTGATAGTTTACTTAGCCTGTAAAGGGATTGCACTTTAACGATTTTGTGGGTTTTAATTTCTTGGTGTGTCCCTAAACTATGAAATATGATTTGATTTTGATCAAAATTTTGAAGTTGTTCCAAATCGGGCCAAAGTCCCTGTACTATAGTACAAGGTCTTGGGCAAAATTTTGGCCAAATGACCAGGAGAGAATTTTCCATTTTTATAATATTTTCTGATGCATATATATGTACTTGTGTTGTGTAGCAAGTTTGAGCTTGTTCCGATGAAAATTGAATTTTTAACGAATTTTTAAAGTTATTCAAAAATCGGGCCAAAGTCCCTGTGCTATAGTACAGTGTCTTGGGCCAAATTTTGGCAAAAATGACCAGAAGAGAATTTTCCATTTTTATAATATTTTCTGATGCATATATATGTACTTATGTTGTGTAGCAAGTTTTAGCTTTTTTCGATAAAAATTGGATTTTTTTATGAATTTTTAAAGTTACTCAAAAATCGGGCCAAAGTCCCTGTACTATAGTACAGTGTCTCGGGCCAAATTTTGGCAAAATTGACCAGGAGAGAATTTTCCATTTTTATAATATTTTCTGATGCATATACATGTACTTATGTTGCGTAGCAAGTTTGAGCTTGTTCCGATAAAAATTGAATTTTTTACGAATTTTTTAAGTTACTCAAAAATCAAGCCAAAGTCTCTGTCTATAGTAGAGGGATTTTGACCAAATTTTGCCAAAAATGGCTAGGAAAGAATTATTGCATTTTCTGATGAACATTCATGCTTTTATGGCACTAGTATTTACACAAACTATAACCTTGTTGTTTAATTATTAACTACTTGAGTATAATGATTATCGTAAATTCACTTATTCTCATTAGGATTTGAAGCTACACCGTTTCCTATTCCTCCGCCACCTCCTCATCTTGCATTCTCTCCTCACACAGAACTTTACCACCACCGTGGCTTCTAGCTACATATTTACTCACCCTCTCTCTCTCCTCTCATTATACATGACTCTTTAGATATTGCATCACTTTCATTCATGTAAATGTCAGATGTAGAGGGAGTTGCAGAATACTCACTTCAATGGCACAGTTTTTCACTCCAATTTGAGCAGCTGTTCTTGAAAAGGGACTCTGAGCTTATATATTATTATTATTATTATTATTATTATTATTATTATGTGTCTGTTTATCTATGTGTTTGTACATTTTATTGAATAGAGGTCTTTGTACAATGTATTTTAAGTTAAGTATTCTTGTGTTTTAGTCATTGTTCTGTTATTGTAGTTATTATTTAAAAAGGTTAGTTATTAACTACATTGTAACCACGTGGTGATAAGAGACTAAGAGTTAAATTTTGAAGAAGAGATAGGCTCAGCGCTGTTCCCATTGGATTATCTCGGCCCATCTCCTATTGACTGCTATGGTAAGGGACGGAGGGTCATTTCTTAGACACGCATTACTCCATATTGCCTAATAAAAACCTCTTCTGTGTGCCATTTTATTATTGTGTCATGTTAAAACTTTTTTTTTTCTCAGAGTTACGCCAAGAAAGACACTCAACTAAGGGAGGAGTCTCCTATACACAAGATTAGGATTACACTTACCAGCAGAAATGTCAAGAGTCTTGAGAAAGGTGATAGAAGAATGACTGAATAAAACACCATTGGGTGGGGCTTTTGTAATGAGCGTAGGTAGTTTTGTTGGCGATTTCTGCATTTGGGGAGCAATCTGTTTTTTATGTACGGATACTGATAATCTTTTTTTTCAGTTTGTAATGATTTGATACGAAGAGCCAAGGACACAAAGCTCCCAAAAGTGAAAGGACCGATCCGTATGCCAACCAAGACCTTACGTATCACCTGTCGCAAGACCCCCTGTGGAGAGGGGAGCAAAACTTGGGACCGTTTTGAGATGAGGATACACAAACGTGTCATTGATTTGCACAGTGCTGCTGAGACAGTGAAGCAGATTGTAAGGCGCAGGAATTTACATACATCACTTTGTAATATATTTTCCTTGTGTAGACATCAATCTCCATCGAGCCAGGAGTTGAAGTTGAAGTCACCATTGCCAATTCATAATTTATTCTGCTTTGAATGGACTCAAAATGGTTGAATTAATTTCAATAGAAAACTAATAAATAAAAATTATTATTTTTATTGATCATTAACATTAAGCGTTACCCTTGACAACATGATTAGTTGTTTTTTGAACAAATCCTGATCTACAAGAAATGCTGAGGATATTTCTTCTTGTACCTGTCCTGATAAACTGTGCTTTAGGACAAACCGTAGCTACCTGCCAGGTTGGACGTTGCCAAGAGCTTGGTTTTGGTCCCTGTGCTGAAGGCGACGAATGCAACCGGTGTTGTGAGCAATGCTACTCAAATGTAAATACTTTACATGCCTTGTCCTGCTCGGTTCATGAAATAAATGGCAACAACTCACTCAAAACGTCTATCTATAGGGCATACTCTCTGGGCTACAGGAATAATAAGCTGAGTGATTATTGGGAGCAACAACTGGATCCTTCAACTCCAATGAATCTTAATGAAACAACAGAAAGCACTAATGATTTAGAGCTAGTTTATGGCTATTGCAAGCTCTGTAAAGCAGTCAGCTTCGAACAAAAGCTCTCTAAGCCCTACACAGTTATAGTGAGCCACAACGTTACAACAAATCCGTGCAGGGAGAATGGCAACGGGTACTTTTGCAGCCGCTGCAAGGATGGTTTCCACCACAACAGGAAGGGAGAGTGTTCAACTTGCACACATGTAAGCGTTGACTGGCTGACGTTTCTACTCATTGAACTGACACCAATCACAGTAATATTTGCCCTTCTCTTCATTACCGGATTCAACATCATCACTGGTGGACTCAATTCTGCAATTTTCTTTGCACAAATGATCACTACGACGATGGATATCACAGGAGACGGTTTCATTCCCATCTCTAACATAACAAATGATACAAAGGTCTCAGAGGATCTCTTTGCTGCCTACCACTTTCTGTACGATATTTGGAACTTGGAGTTCTTCAGTCCTTTCTCATTAAAACTCTGCCTCTTTCGAGCCGACTCTTTTCTGGTTTATCTCTTTGTAGAGTACTTGGTTGGATTTTATCCGATCTTCCTGTTGGCGACCGTTACATTAGCACGACTTATCTATCACGGAGCAATAAAGGACAAATGCAAGGTCAAGATCGACATTTCAATCGGGAACAAAATTAACATGAAGTGGAGAGAGTCGACACACAACCTGGTAATATCCGTTCTGGTTCTCTCGTATGCTAAACTAGCCTCAACGTCTGCAATGTTGATCAGTGGTACCGGCTTGTATGCAGTACATACTAATGAATACATTCGAACTGTCTCACTGTTTGATCCAAACGTGACCTACACTTCATTCCCTTATATGCTCTTTGTCCTGGTTGCAGTCGGTATACTTGTCTTACAATTTTTCTATCCGTTCATTGTCCTCATTGTCAAGTACCTCAGGGAATACAAACGCTCTCGAAAATTCCCCTTCCTTGATAAGCTAATGGTTCCGTTCCTAGAGATGAAGAACGAGTTCCAACAAAGCAGAGAAGGGAACGAAGCCGTCGACTATATAATACGCTTTGACGATCATCACTGGATAGAAGCTGTATACCTCATACTTCGTGTCTGCCTCTTTGTTATATACGTGACACCTCTGAGCTTCATTCAGAAGTTTATTGTAGAGCAAGGCTTTCTACTCGTTGGGATGATGTTTATTGTTTTCGTTCAACCATACAAGAAGAAATGGATGAATCGCATTGATATGTTCATACTCCTTCTATTGGTGTTCATAAACACGCTGAGCATCTACCAGTACTCGCTCGCACAAGGCTCCCTCCCTCTTGCTGTTAGCTCTTTCGTTATACAGTACATCATGATATTCTTTCCAATACTCTGGATGATAACCTACGTAATCTTCCTCTTCATTATATGGCTCATCAGTTTCAATTGCTGGCCCACAATGAAAGCAAGGCCAATGCTTGGTAATATTCAAAGGCTTGAAGAGTATGGCCAATCAGAACCAAGTAATACAGAAGTGGTGGCACAAGAGTATGAGACTTTTGAGCCAGTTTATGATAGTATTGCAGATCAATAAAGAACAATGATTATTAAAAAACAATGAGAACACAATATTTAATCAAAATTAACCTTCAATTATCTCACTGTAGTTATTAATAAATAAAATCAGTTGTTAAAAATATTAAGCCAATAATTCACATAAAATTATAGCATGATTTAAAAAGCAAAAATCATTAATGATACATTGAGATGCAATCATTCTATCAGTGACTACAATCACAAGTTGAACTAATAAAGGGACTTGCCTTTAGTCTGGCTCACTATAAACTAAACACAATGGTAAAAAGTCATGATCAAGTCTGAGCAGACTTTCTCCTATGTAAGACATTGCTAAAAGCACACACAAGTGTGATCATACATAATTACCAGTTGATAAAACAGAACTGTTAGTGATTCCATGGACTGGAGAATAAAATAATAAATCAGACTTGTCTATTTCAAAAGAACGTCCATCAAGTGGCTTACTATCAGAAAAACGTAATAAGTTCATCATCACTACTCCTTACTTGAGCTGAGTAAGTGATATTGGAAGAGGATGCGAGTGAGTGATGAGTCTGGCTTCATTCTTCAGTAAATTCCATTCACACATTAGTTTTATGGAATAGCCTCTATTATATATAAGAGGTACAATAATGATAAGTATCATCTTTCAGGCTTAATAATTGTTACTGGTATAGGGGAGTTCCTTCAGAAAAACTAGCTGCATTAACCTTCACTAACAAACAAACAATTTTATCTTCTGGACAAACCTAAAAAAAGACAAATTAGAGATTTAGCCTTATTCTATAATCTTACTCGACATATTATCATTTCATAGTCATTTAGTGAACTCAAGTTGACATGAACTGTTTTTAAAAGAATATCTTCTAACGTTGATACAAGCCATGGCTCTATATCAAAGCAATACTGGGAGACATTAACTCTCATCTCAGGATCAGTTGATGAACTGGAAGGCAAAGATACTTCAACCAGAGCCCTTTCTTTATAATAGACTTCAACTGGTAATACAACTTGGGAAAGAGAAGTTACTAAAAAAAGAATAATGCATATATAATAATGTTCATTTTGATCTGATTACAAGAGAAATTGTGCATGAATAAAAATATTATACTTACAGGATGAATAGACATTAGTAGCTGAGGCATTATCTCCTCTAGGAAGAAGGAAAGACTGATGGACAATGGTACAGCCAACACCACCAGCAGAAAGAGCAGATGAAGGGGAAAGAGAAGGCAATGGAGGAGAACGAGATTTTTCTATAGCAACAATTGTACAACCAGTATTAACAAGAATTGTGTCTAGAGAAGAAAGTATTGGAGTAATGAACAATGATTTTGGTTGACAGACCTTGGAGCTGGAGTGAGAGAGTTGGGTCAAAGAGAGGATAAGGAGGGAGTGCTTGGTATTTCAAATGTACCGAGGGACTAGCCTGATCTCTGTTTAGTTCAGTTGGATTGGAAGGTGGAGGAGAAAGAATGGAAATATAGAAGTCTTTAGCTTCAGAGTCATCTCTAAGGAAAGATAAAAGAACTAATAATGATGTCTAAATCTTTTACTTGTCTTCGTAGCCAAAAACAAAGACATTCTCTTCGTCTTTTTGACACACACACAACTTAAGTTCAGTAATTCTAAGATCGGTATCAATGGTTCCAAAGCTAAAGCCTTCAAACAAATTGCAGCTCTTCACCTTTTAAAAGCAATAATTATAAAGATAACAAAAAACCATGACGCATATACACTATTGTACATACCAATTTTAAAGGTTGTCCAAGGTCCACTAGCCACCAGTGTAGTGAGAACTCTCTGTCATTAAAAGGACCAGAGGGTTTGTAGGAGATGAGGTAGGGGCCATAATAGGAGAATCCAATGAGTACATGACTGTAAAATTTTAAAATTGACATTAATTTTTGCCAAATTTTGTAGCAATTAAAGGAAGTTAATAATTATTTCAGCGGGGTTTCTAAATTTTGGAGTAACTTTAAAAAATCCAATTTTAATGGGGATCAGCTTAAACTTTCTACACAACATAAGTACATGTATATGCATCAGAAAATATTATAAAAATGAAAAATTCTCTCCTGGTCAATTTTGCCAAAATTTGACCCGAGACACTGTACTATAGTACAGGGACTTTAGCCTGATTTTTGAGTAACTTTAAAAATCTGTAAAAATCCAATTTTTATCAAAAACAGCTAAAACTTGCTACACAACATAAGTACATATCTATGCATTAGAAAATATTATAAAAATAGAAAATTCTTGCCTGGTCATTTTTGCCAAAATTTGGCCCGAGACACTGTACTATAGTACAGGGACTTTGGCCTGATTTTTGAGTAACTTTAAAAATTCGTAAAAAATCCAATTTTTATCGAAAACAGCTAAAACTTGCTACACAACATAAGTACATATATATGCATCAGAAAATATCATAAAAATGGAAAATTCTCTCTTGGTGAATTTTGCCAAAATTTGGCCAGAGACACTGTACTATAGTACAGGGACTTTGGCCCAATTTTTGAGTAACTTAAAAAAATCATAAAAAATCCATTTTTGATCGGAATCAGCTCAAACTTGCTACACAACATAAGTACATGTATATGCATCAGAAAACGTAATAAAAATTGAGAATTCTCTCCTAGTCATTTTTGGTGAAATTTGGCCAACGACCCTGTACTATAGTACAGGGACTTTGACCCGATTTTGAGTAACTTAAAAAATTTATTAAAAATCCAACTTTAGTCAGAATTAGCTCAAACTTTCTAAACAACCTATGAATGTGGGATATTACTAATGATAGAATTAGATGGTTCTTTCATTTACTCTTCAAGAAGTTCTCGTCCTGAGTCCCCCAATACACTACCAAGAGGAATGCAGCGCGGCCGTACCAGCTGCTTGAACACTTTCCACTGCAATCGCGTGTGTTCACAAATATTTATACTCTAGGGAGGATTTATGCATAATACTAAATACTGATACAAAGTTACAAACCTCTTGTCTGTCTCTAAGGAACCTTAGTAGAGCCATCACATTCACAGGTGGACGTGGAGCAATTCTGGCCACACCCTTAATTATAAGCACACGTGATTCCACGTGGTCAAAGTGGCTTTAGCATTGGAATACAAAAATAATAATTATCATTCGAACTTTCTATAATAAAAATATACTAAAAGGACATTGTTTATTATTTATTTTTGTCCTTCCTTCGTCTTGGAGCTGCTGGCTGCTCCATATCCTTGCTCCCTGTTTTAGTTTTAGCTTCTTTTTCAGTTGCTTTATCCTCATCTTTCTTCCCCAAAGATGATGATGGTAGAGATACTTTATTCAATTGTGTGGAGTTCTCCTTTAGCACACAAAGACGTGGTATCCACCCACGTACTCTCTTCCCTTCATTGATCTCCTCTACACAAAATAAGAGAATAAGTAAATTCAACTTTAATATCATGCAACTTTATTGCCATACCTTGCGGAATATGCTTATTTCCATAAACCCACCTCCTATAAAAACATACAATTTCATGACTCTCATTACAAATATATTCTCTCTCGTCCTCCTCACTTTCTAAATCTGGTGATAGTTATAATGTCATTCTTGCTGATTGGTATGCTTGGTTCCAGACATGGCGTGCAAATGAATACCAACGGCCCATAAGAAACGAGAGTCTTTAAACATGATCCATTAAAATCTCGAGTCACCTTACAATCAACCTAACATGAAATTATCGTGAAACCTATCATTATAACTAGGCCCTGGCTTATATTGTATTCTTAATGACTTACTCCTCTCTTCTTCTTTTCAACTTTTTGTGCCATTTGTTCAATCTAGAATATGAAATAAGAGAGAGAGAGAGGGGGGGAGAGAGAGAGTTAATAGGTGTGCATATAACAGTGTCTCTTACTGTAAATGAGTATTGATTGCAACCCTTTACAACTGGCCAGTATATCCCATCGCCGACAGGAGTGAAAGAACAACGTATAACCTAATAAAAAATAGTGAATAAATAAATAAAAATAGAAAGTTCTAACCTGCTTCCAGTTCTTAGATCTGCCAAGATCATAAGGATACACGAAAGGTTTCAAGTTTTGATTATTCCTTCTCCTTGTGGCGGCCTTTTCACAAATCCAGTCTTCGATCTGCGTCCTATTGCTCAGAACTGAGGATAGCTGCAAGAAAAATAAAGAAAAAATAATAATAATAATAATAGTACATGAACTGTTTTCATGCTCTATACTCCATCATGATTACCTGCACATATAGCAGTATGCAGACTCCTAGAGCAGCTCCAAGTGAGAATGCAATACCCGATATTGTAAGCATTATGGTATAAGAGTTAATAGGTAGCAACAAGGACTGGGCACGACCTCTGAATTCCTTTTTTAAAAAAATAAAGAAAATGGTTAGTAATTTTCTTGTATTCTCTCCTCAACTCTCTCTCATTCTCTCATGAAATTACATATGAGAAGAGTCTGTAGAGGAAGTTAGAGTTTAATATGGTAGCATAGATGCAGCCGACGGGTAGAAAGAAAAGGAATGCAATGAACGGGTTTTGGTTCCTGTGTCCCACACAGCAGTTTATCCAGGGGCAGTGGTGATCCATCTTAAGCACACACCTACAAAAGAAAAAAATAATAAATAGAATTAATATAAAATGTATGTATAGTTAAAGGAATGGTTTTACCTTCCACAGCTGCTGCAGTGATGCGATCTAGGTGCTTTATACGCCTGGCATATGTCACAATATTGCAAGTATTCTTTATCTGCTTCGTTACTCTATAAAAATATCATTATTAATATGAAATAAAATTATAAATTAGTAACACGCCCCTTTTAATTAATGCTACACCTCCAATATTTTAAAGTGTCCTGGCGTTAATACTTACTGGCTTCCATTTTATTGGTACGAACCCAGGCCCTCCAAATGCTTTAAAGTAAGAGTACAGTATGAGCCAGAGGTTGAGATACATTGTAAAGAAGTTGAACTTTTTGATGTATTTGACGGAGGGAAGACTGTAGAGCTGTATAGATGAATATGTTGCAGACACTACGACGACTCCTATAAGGGAAAGAGCAACAATCGGTCCCCAGTGACAAAGCTGTCGTATAACAGATCGAGGCTTAGAGGGCGCCATGACACCCAATATACGGAGAAATACAAGAATTACTGGCCAAATTTACAGAACATGATTCAGGGTGTGGTTAGGCGTGGCCTTGTTGCCATGGTTTCTAGATTGTATATACAACCATATCTATGATACAATTACAACTCTCTTAAACGTTGCCTGGGGCTTGAAAAAATTTTAAGGGTAAGCTGGATCCCAAAGATTTAAAAATTTTGAATAATTATAATAGAAGAGAAATGGCAGCAGCATCAGTGATATACTCAGCTCCTGGTCTATTGCCAGGTCCTGCTTCACCTCCTCCAGCCCTCACTGCAGTTGAGAACAAACTCAAGTACATTATACAGAACAGAGGGATAAGAGTCTCTGAATTCTTCCAGGACTATGATCCACTGAGGTCTGGCTACATTACAAGTAAGTTCAATGCATATATGTACATGCACAAGTAGATTTTTGCAATTTTAGGTTCGCAGTTTCGACGCTGTTTGGATCAGAATCTTGCTCTTGTCCTTACCGATGAAGAATTTGAGGAACTGTTGAGCAAATATGATGATACAGGCAAAGGAATGATCAACTATATTGATTTCATTGAATCAGTTCAAGCATGTAAGAACTTGCATGCAATGATGAATGCAATGCATGATGTAGCTGCACATTCATTATACTGTGAAATTCACAAGTTGCAGCTATTTGACACTAATTAATGCATAAGTGTTAATTTTCTTAATCATTCATGCAAAATTCCACTATGTTTCATCAAGTATAATGTATACTCATTGTAGCATTTGTCCCTGATAAACTTGATGGGAAGCCCAGGGAACAAATAGATCAAATGCTCAAGACTCCATCAACACTCACCAAATCAACACTCTCTCCACTAAATAAAGAGAGGACTGACCACCTCCTCCAGAGATGTGCTGAATTCTATTTGGTAAAGAGAGCATTGCCCCACATTTTAACTAAAATTGCACACCTTATGCTAAATTTATTTTATAGTCTCGTGGGATTGTAGTCAAAGCTTGCTATGAGGATTTTGACAGGCACAATATGGGCTATGTCACCTTTAGTCAAGTAAGAGAGAGAGAGAGGAAGGTTTTAAAGAGATTAAATTCCAAAAAGAAGAAGCAACAGTTTCATTTTATCATCTCTTCTAGTTTCATCGTAGTTTCCCTGGGCCGGTTGAAGTGACTGACACAGAGATATCAATGCTAGCCCATCGCTATTACGATCCACTGGTCAAACTGTACAATTACTATCGTTTCAATGATGATATAAGGAGTATATGGGAAAGGGAAGGAGGCAGAGGATCTGCAGGGAAACAACAATCATTACTATCCCCTGTAAGACCCTATGCAGTTGGATAGCCTTTGCATACATTCAGATGTGTATGCATGTACATGTACATGTACATGTATATTAATATACCTTTTTTTGCATTGTACTTGTAGGTAAAGGAGGCAAGTAGCATACAAGATATCATCAATCAAATTAGGTAAAGTACATTATTATACTGTACATTCATATTGACACCTATACAACATGTGTGCTTTGTATTATAGGGATACTGTTTACAAGTATGGCATCAGGACTACAGAGTTTTTCACTGATTTCGACAAGCTTCGCAGCGGACTTGTCACAGAGAACCAGTTTGTGTGTGGCCTGTCTCTCCTACTGGCCAAGAGAGGTCACATCACTAGAGATGAGGTGGGGTACATTGTGAGACGATTCAGTACGCCTGATGGACATGTTAATTACAGAGAATTCTGTCATCAAATGGAAAACGGTGAGTCTTTAGTTATTGCATGCAGTAGCTGCTGCTGTTTCAAGTACAAGCATTTCTTAATATGCAGCATACAATAAATCTGATTTCGAGAAGAATCCAACTGATACTGTATACAGGCCACCTAGAGGGCATTTACACAAGGTACTGTAGCTAAAAAGAAAGAAACCATTTTTTATATGAGTGCTGTGTTCATTTTTAGCCTCTTAATGATTTGTCTCCAGCCGATGAAGAGAGACTCTTTGCTCTTCTCTCTCGATTGAGAGAGCAAGTAAAGAAAAGGAGATTATTGCTGTATCCTTATTTTAGAGACTTTGATAGAGTAAGACATCAAACATTAAAGTCTACAGTACAACTTTGTAAATATTTTTATAGAAGAAAGGATTCACTCGGGGTGTTACAAAATCGCAATTTGAAAGACTCTTTCAGTTCCTGTCACTCTCTATATCGCCTGATGAATCCAACGTATGTATTCATTCACATACAAGTAGTGGTGTATACATGTACATGTACATGTACATGTACATTGTACATGTATATGTACAGTACATGTACATGTACATGTACATGTCAATCCATTATGTTTGGTATTTCATTAGTTGATTGAGGCAAAATTTGGCGATCCTTTAAATGGTGACATTAACTATTCAGCACTAATACAAGGGATTGATGAAGAATACACTGGACAGATAGTAGACCTAGATGAAGAGGACTTTTCAAGGTAAAGAGAGAGAGAGAAAGAATAATTATATACCATATATATGTACATGTACATGTAGAGTACATGCACATCTAATCCTTTACTGTGCAATAGGTTAAGCATTTGTCACTCTTCATTGACTCGTCCTCAATACGAGGAGCCAATCAATATCGGTGAGCTGATGGGCAGAATACAAGAGCATGTATCAGCTCATCGTATCAGAGCCTGCGAGTACTTTCAGGACTTTGATCCACTGAGGAGTGGGTTCATCTCCACTACCAGATTCAGACAAGTACAGCCTGCGATTAAATGCACACACGATGTTACATTAATCTATTATATCAGGGTCTTAGTGCTCTTGGATTAGCTAACATGCCATCCAGACATTTTAATGGCTTGGCTGACTATTACACTGTGAACAAGGAGAATACAGGACCAGTCATAGCTTGGAAAGAATTTGTGAAAGATGTTGATGATGGTACATATTAAAGCATATTTACATTATTATACATGTACATATTTTTTGCAGTTTTTCTGCCAATGCCACAGAAGAAAAAGATCTATACATTACCAGCTACAGGCTCAGTTGATTTCATATCAGAAGCTACTGATGATCAGAAGGCATTGCTGCAATCAGCACTGGATAGGCTCAGAGATCAAATTAATCAAAAGAGAATATTAGTCAAGCCTTGCTTCCAAGACTTTGATAGGTAAGCCAATGTACACATTAATGTATATAACGATGGTGTAATGCTAATTTACAGTGCATGTATACAGTAGCACATAAAAATATTTCTATTACACTTAATTTCTAGCTACAATGAACATGTTGAGTTGATTCCAATATCACACTAATTATATTCTATTTTTGTAGACACAACTGTGGTCGAGTGACAAGGAAGAACTTCCATCAGTGTCTTTCATATTTAGAACTTAATATCAGTGAGGAAGAGGGAGAAGTGCTTGAGATGAGATTCTGTGATGCTAAAGGATTCAACTATTTAAAGGTAAGAAGAATGATGAGTATAAAGCTGCAGATTTGAAGCAAGCATCTTCTCTCTACAGTTACTCCAAGAGATACAGCCACGGGATGTATTTGAGGATAATTATGATGATAGAATCACTACCATTAGGACAGATACTAAAAGACTAGAGGACATGACAAAGAGTTTTAATCCAGTCAGCATCGCTCAAGTACTCTACAAGATAAGAGCCAAGGTACATTGCTATACCTGTATTTCATGACTCACTCTACTATCATGTATAATGTGTACAGGTTGTGAGGGAGCGTATAAGAGTCCTTGAATTCCTAAGGGATTACGACAAGCTACGATCAGGTCGTATTTTGGGAACTGTCTTCCATAGAGCACTTGATCTGTGTGGATTTGAACTGAGCCCGAGTGAAATACATGCCCTAGAGAATGAGTGAGTTATAATACACTTGAGCTGAACCAATAAAAGTTATATAAATGTACATGTATAGGTATAGATCAGTAAAGGATAGCTCATACGTTGATTATGTGTTGTTTTCTGATGATGTTGAGTCTGTGTTTACCATCAAGGAGCTAGAAAAGATGCCAACATTAGAGGTACATGTACATGTACATGCACAGTACATGCACAGTACATGCACAGTACATGCACAGTGCATGCACAGTACATGTATCACTGATTGATTGTATTTGTGGTTCCACCAGGTTATGCAGTTCAAGCCACCAGAAGATGTTGATTTGAATCAGCTCTCACCGTCAGATGAGGAAGCAGTCCATAAAGCTCTGCACAAACTAGCAGAATCTGTAAGGCCCTGACTCCATTATGTACTGCTTATTAATCTCTCTCTCTCTTTATTCTGATGTAATGCTGTAGGTCAGGGTAAGACATCTTCCACTTTTCCCTCCATTTGAAGATTATGACAAAGTCCACAGAGGAAACGTGACCACTGGGCAAGTAAGTAATGCAAATTAAATTACATTAATTTCTTTTTTTCCTATTGCCTAGTTCAAGCGTGTCTTGGATGATTTGAGTCTGATGCCTCACCTAAGCCAGTTTGAGTTGAACCTGATATGTCTCAAGTTTGGTGTCATAATCGGAGGAAGACATGACATCAATTATAATGCTTTCTGTCTCCTTGTTGAAGACTATGCTCAGACCAAGTGGAATGAGCAATAGAACATCTCCTTGTGTTGTGTACATGTACATGTAATGTATTCTATAGTTGACAATATTATACGCACGTGAATACACGTGGGTAGATTGCTGGCCACGCCTATAAGGTTGGTACAAGACAACCCATTCTTCCATTCTCCATTTTGGCTGCTCGCAGTCCTCGGCTATTGCTTATACTCGTTCCTGGTCTTGCTGTGTGTTAGGGATAGTTCTCCTCTTTTTCATACTGCCCAGTTAGTGAAGCTAAAGGTGTGAGCAACTCGACAGACAGGTGAGAATGAACCGCACCTCTTATACATGTAATGCCAAGCATGCTAAGCTTGTATTCAAATCTTCTCTTTAAGAATTGGCTCATTTTAAAATGATCATAACTTGAAAAATTTAAGTTGAAAAGAGCTCAAACTTTCTACATAGCATAAGTACATCAATATGTATCAGAAAATGTAATAAAAATTGGGGATGATTTTGGAGCCATTTTTTGGAAAAAAACCATGGGCTATAGTACAGTGAATTTTTCAGAAATTTAGAGTTTTTTAGAAATGGTCATAACTCGAAAAATTGAAGTCGGAATTGGCTCAAACTTTCTACATAGCATAAGTACATCAATATGTATCAGAAAATTTAATAAAAATTGGGGGTGATTTCGGAGCCATTTTTTGGAAAAAACCATGGGCTATAGTACAGTGAATTTTTCAGAAATTTGGAGTTTTTTAGAAATGGTCATAACTCGAAAAAGTGAAGTCGGAATTGGCTCAAACTTTCTACATAGCATAAGTACATCAATATGTATCAGAAAATGTAATAAAAACTGGGGGTGATTTCAGAGCCATTTTTTGGAAAAAACCATGGGCTATAGTACAGTGAATTTTTGAAAAATTGACCAATTTTTAAAATGGTCATAACTTGGAAAATTTAAGTCAGAATTAGCTCAAAATTTCTACACAACATAAAAGCATGTCAGAAATATCATTTACTATTTCCTTGCATCCATCCCAAGCCACTAAATGGAGCCAGAAAAAAAAGACAAATCAATGAAGGAATATGAGGAAGAAATAGAACAACTAAAGACACTGAATGAAACGTTACAAACTCATGTTGATTTAAAAGAAGTACAGGTATGTAATGGACTTGTGTATTGGTTTTAGGTGGCTTTATGTAGAGTGCAGTTTACAAACAAGACTTTGAAGCTGAAAGGAATGACAGGCAAAGAATACATGAAGAATGTGAAACTCTTAGAACAAGAATGGAGGAATTATTGGCACAGCATGAAGTTGATAGACAAGTAATAGATATTAATGAGCACTGGTGTAACAATTCAGTTATTATGTACATGATAGATAATAAAGACTCAAGATGAAGAAATAAAAGTTTTAAAAAGACAGCTTGATGCTTCCATTAGTCAGAATCAAGAAGATAAAATGCAAGCACTAAGAGACGAAGTTAGTCCTTACAGCCATGAAATTGATAAATTTATGCATGAGCAACTTTGCATGCATCCAAGAGTTACAAATAAAGTTTTCAAAAGAAGTAAAAATTGAAATGTACATTGTATCTACTTTCATATATTATAGAAAGAAAGTCTTCTGAAGGCTTACGATCAAGAAAGAACAAGAGCTAATAGACTAGAGGAACAAATTGAACTAATGAAAGAAGCCAATAATGTAAGAATTACATACAATGATCATATTAACTTTACAGTTTATAATTAGATACAAACTCGCTCAAGGAGAAGCTATTCTTATTCCTCATCTCATCATTATGATTCCTTTCCATCTGACTCTGATTCTTTTTCTCCTCCTCCATTTGCCCATCAATCAGTCGGTGATTCTTCATATTTTCCTTTTAATCCGACCCCCTCACCCTCTCCTCACATCAGTGAAAGAAGAAATAAACCAAGAATAGTAAAAGAAGATGTTACCAGCCGAAATCATGATTATACCACCAGCATTCCTTCTCACATACGACCACATCTCAGTAGAGAAGAAATGTATAGAAGATTTGGAGGAGGTCAAATGAGAAGAGAAGAGTATGAAAGACCAAGAGTCTCACCAGCATATACCAGTAGCATACCTAAATCTGTTCAACCTCAGCTCAGCGAAGAGGAAATGAAAAACCTCTTCAAACCAAGAGTGTCACCAGCATATACCAGTAGTATACCTGAATCTGTTCAACCTCAGCTCAGTGAGGAGGAAATGAAAAGCCATTTCAAACCAAGAGTGTCACCAGCATATACTAGCAGTATACCTGATTCTGTTCGACCTCAAGTCAGCGAAGAGGAAATGAAAAGGCGTTTTAAGAACCACCAGCAGCCATACAACCAGTACAGGAGGGAGGACAGTGAGGAGCACTGGAGAGTTAATGAAGAGACGGACCAAGCTTTGCTTGAAGTTGATCGTATTAGAAAGCAAAATCCCATTCATCCTTAAACAACACATTAATGGGAATGAATAAATTTAGTGTGATGATAGATGTAGACCTGTAATATTGCTAGAATGCAAATGTACATGTACATATACATCTTTTTGATACTAGTACTACTGCAATTTTAATTTGCTTTTATAATAACAGGCTGGCACACCTTTTCTGTGACACACCCCCTGTATTTACAAATTACAGCTAATAATTTACAGCTGAAAGGCTGAGACGAATCAAAAAACAAGAGAAGGAGTTTATGGAGACAGAGAAGTGTCAAATTGAAGCACTTACTAGAGACATTGAGCAATCAAGAGCTGAGCTTAAAGAACAAGAAGATGATTTCAAGCATCAATTACAAAAGCAAGAACAAGAATTAACAAGGTATGCTTTTAGCATAATGAAAAGTCAATACTATACATAGGATTTCTACTTGGCTTCATAAGCATCAGGCAGAGTTTAAAGTTTGTTTGAGTAAAAAAGAGCAATTAGAAAGAAAATATGATGCTGATGTAAAGAAGCTACTGGAAGTAA